CATCTCAACAGATAGCAATGACATGTGTGTGCTGTTGCCATTAAAGAAAATTCTTGGAGAGCTTCCCCTCTGCTGGTGGTGAGCTCTTCTGTGTCCTTGTGACAAGTGCATCAAACACTGAAGCAAATAAGAGTCACTGGAAAATCATGGTGGAATTTAAGTCCACGCATTCCAAGTCACAAATTAGTGATGTAAAAAAAAAAAAAGGCCCTGACTAATTGGGATAGCATTACTGCCACTCTTAGAAATGTACTACTCAACCCACCACGGCAAGCCATATGGCTTGCTACAGCAGGGACAGATCTTCTGGAAAAGCAGAGGAAGAAGGTCAAGGGTGAAGAGAATTGGAATAAAGAGACTGTAATAAAAACTGTAAATTTCAAATGTGGAGGTCATCTCGTCTACCCTCTGCTTGAACCAGGAATCCATTCTCTCCCCTTCTTTTTAGAATATAAAACAGTAATTATTAATATTTAATAAGCAGTTCACTAGGAACAAGTACATGTATTTTCTCATTTAATCTTTAAAATGGTCCAATGAGACCAGTCATAGAATCTTTATTTACAGATGAGCATATGGGCTGCTAAAGAAACACAAATCCTCTTTGGCCTGCCTTCTTTCCTTTAATTTCCTTTCCTTCCTTCCTTCCTTCCTTTCCTTCCTTCCTTCCCTGCCTCCTTCCTTCCTTTCCTTCCTTCCTTCCTTCCCTGCCTCCTTCCTTCCTTTCCTTCCTTTCCATCCTTCCTTCCTTCCTTTTTTCCTTCCCTTCCTTTCCATCCGTCCTTCCTTCCTTTCCTTTCTTCCTTCCTTCCCTTCCTTCCTTCCTTTCCTTCCTTTCCATCCTTCCTTCCTTTCCTCCCTTTTTTCCTTTCTTTCCTTTCCATCCTTCCTTCCTTCCTTTCCTTCCTTCCTTCCACAAACTCATACCACATGCTAAATATACTAAAAAACATTCACCTTCAGTGACAGAACTCAGTACCCCAAAGGCAACCTACTAGATTTGGGGACACCTCTAATTCTTAGGAAGGTCTTCCTCGTCCTGATCTGACATGTGTCTCTGGGTAACTGAACAGTAAGTAGCTGTGGTGTCCTCAGGTCACTTAGAACGAAATGAGATATGAGGAAACAGTGAATGTAAGAGGTTTACAGGAGACAACTGTCATTTTCTGTTTCTGATTGCAATTCATTGCAGTGCTTGTTCTGAGAAACCGGTACGGTTTTCATGTTCATTCTTATTCTCTGGGGACAGTAGACGGTTAAATCCCATCAACCCCGGAAGAGCGATGTAGTCTTCCTTCCAAATAGTTTTTCAAAAAACCTCCGATACTTTGGACACGCTGTCAGAGGACATTCACCACCCACATAAAAGTGAGTCCACGTGTTGCCAGCATGCAAACATCAGGCATAGGTGTCCACCCTCAGGAGGCCACGGACACGGAGGACACGTTTCAGAGCCTCCCTCACAGGTCTCTCTCGGCAGCCTCTTACAGGATGGCCTTTTAAGACCTGATTTTCTTCACTTTAAGTGAGAAAAGGAGATGCTAGAAGCCAAAAAGCCAGGAATCACTGCTCCAGAAGAGTCCACTGTTTGTGTACATTGCAGAGCCCTACTGCCCCCAGCTCTGCAACGACCAGGCCTCTGACACAGCAGCTCCCCTCCCCGGGAACTCCAGGACAAACAAGAGAACCTTTGAGAACAAGTTTTCCTCCTAGGCCTTTGGGGGCCTTCCAGGGAAATTGGTTTTGCTCAGAGTCTTTGGTCCTTAACTACTGTTTCTATCATTATTGTACCCAGACTAAGCACGACTTAAGATGTCTGACTATAATCAATGTAACAAATGTTCTCTATGACAATATATAACAATAGTTAAGATGTATTGAGCACCTACTATATACTTGGCATTTACATAAAATCATTTCAATTATTCTTCATAACACTGCTGGGTTTGGTAAGCATTCCATTTTCCAGATGGTGAAACTGAGACAAAGAAATGCTAAGGAACTTATTTAGCCTAGTAATTTAAATGGCAGAACTAGCCTCAACCCAGATTCTACCCACTCTGCTTTCCTTTCAAGAAAATAACACTAGTAATAGCTATCATTGTGCCTACCAGGCACTATTGCAAGTACTTTACTTATTTCGACTCATTTTCATCTTTACTACAACCCTATTTTATAGCTGAGATAAAGAGGGCTTAAATAACCTATCCCAGGTCATACAGCTAGTACACAGTAGAGCTGGGTTTTGAGCCCAGGCAGACCGATGCCAAGGATGAGACCGCTGTTCTAAAGCAGTAGTACCAATTCCACCTAGAATTGAATGAGTAAGATCAACATGCCCTAGTGAGGCACTGCCCACCCCTTGGCTGTCAGTCTGACCTACTCCCCACAGTGTGCTGCTGCCCATGGAGCTCCTGTTATAGGACAGAGGGGATTTGTGAAGTACACTACTTTTAGCACCCTTCTTTTGGGAAAAGGTAGACAAGAAAACTGATGGGCAGGGAGGTTGAGGTTCTTCCCCGGAGTCCCCTAAGCAACCTAGTAGTAAGCTCAAGGTTATAAACCCCTGTCCTCAATCACCTAGGCTATTACCTTGCTTGTGAACCTGAAAGCTTGCCTTCTCTTTTCAGGACAGGGTGAGACCTGGAGAAGGTCCCAGGGGCCTGGGAACACACCTGCTGTTACACAGTGACTCAAGGCCATCTGAGGGCACAGGATATTCCATTAGGGGGACAATCATATCCAAAGGATCCACAGGTCCCCCTTCCAGTACAGTCTCCAAACCAGCTGCCTCCTTCTTTCTCCTAGTGATGAGGCAGGTGGCTCTTCCAGGTCGCTGCAAAGGGTGTTTATCTGTAAGACTGGAGGAGACCAAGCACCCACCCAAGTCTGTCCCCGAGACAGCGCAACTGAAAGCAGAAAGGGAAGCCTGCAAGTCAGAGTATAGCAAGTGACAACAGGATACAGCCCCCTGTGGGGACCCAGAGTTGATGGGTCTGTCTGGGGGAGAGCCTTGAGGTGGGGAAGGTAGGGGTGACAGTCGTGCCCTGGGAGCCCCATCTGCCTGGCCGTTGAATGACACAGTCTAAGCCTTCTCCTGCTTCCTGCCCATTTTCTTTCTCTGATCTGTTAATGTCATAGTTCATTACTCACAATTAATAACCATAACAAGAACTATCAGGGTTCCTAATAATTATAAAGACATAAGATCTTTTATCTTGATAGGATCAGACTCTCTCCTTCAAACAACCCAGGGAGACACCTTCAAGAAAGATGGATGGGGTCCTGGCTGGTGTGGCTTAGCAGATTGAGTGCCAGACTGTGACGCAAAGGGTCACTGGTTCAATTCCCAGTCAGGGCACATGCCTGGGTTGCGGGCCTGGTCCCCAGGTGGGGGCACGTGAGAGGTAAACACGTATTGATGTTTTTCCCCCTCTTTTTCTCTCACCTTTCCCATCTCTCTAGAAATAAATAAATAAAAACTTTATAAAAAATTATCCAGAGAAGCTGACATTTAGCGATGAAATGATTTGTTCAGTCATGAATTAACGACTGTGCCAAGAACCATGAACCACGGTAATCTTGTGGGAGAGCTTTGTGACTTGAAAGACATGTTTTTATCTGGAAGATTCAGGATCCAAGAGATTTTCTTTCTCTCCTGTACTATCAGAACTCTGAACCAAGTGACAACACTCGTGAGGGACAAGCAGTAGCCACCACCCAAACACACCCGCCTGGGGGAAGAGAACGGACACAAAGGTCAGCTGGAGAACAATGCAAGCCTCCAAGGAGTAAGAGGGAAATCGGCAACCGGTCCAGGGCAGATTCTCAGTGGTGCGACCCAGACAAAAACGTTCCCAGCTTGCTTCAATTTATGCTCTTGAAGAACTGACAGAAACTTTGAGTTTCTGGGTGGATGAGTAGGAGCATAATTCCTGACAGGTTATTCTTTTGCAAACATATTTGCTAACCGAATCTCAGAAAAATAACTGATGAATGAAATGCCTCCCTAGAAGGTGGACTTCTATCCCAAGTGTTCCAGCTCATCCCAGGAGGGAACTGGGTTTGGAGATGTCTTCTCTCCTCCTCCACCAGCAGGAGTGGGTGTCGAGTGCGGCTATCGGGCTGTCAAGAACAGAAGTAGTCATAGCTGTGTGATCCGGACGTGCAAAACCAAAATGGACCCTAGAGGTAAAATTACTTGTAAAACAGTCAGGTCCTGGCAGCACAATCTCCTCAGTATATTCGCTACTAAAAGCAAAGTGGATGAGTGCCAAAAAATTAAATGTCAGACCTGAAGTTACATTCTTGTAAGCAAAGAGGAAGTAGACTTTAACTGAAGGTCAACAGGCAGCCAGTCCAGATCTGAATGTAAACAATTCCAACCAGACAGCAAAGTGGTTTTTAAAAGAGTATTTAGCAAAGAACAAAGAAAACCGTAGACTTTTTAAAAGAGAAGGAGACGGAAGGAATCTGGAGTAGAGGGTGTCTGAGTAGGACTACAGAACTGACCCCTCGAGAAACAAACTTCCAGGGGGAAAAACAATTAAGACAAATTTCCCTGACAACGCCTCTGGCGTGATGCATGCAGAAAGTAAGGCAAATTAATGCAAACAAGGTAATTCTGAATTCAGTTGGTGCTGGCTTCCCAGGCCCTACCACTAGCCGGGCTGAACTGGTCTATACTTTTGAGTTAAGTTGCAAAAAACCTCCTCTCCACTCCACTCCACTCCAGGGTTAAAAAAAAAATCAGATCAACTTCCTCGACAAGTAGGGGCTGGACTAATGATTAAAAGCAAAAAGGATTCAATATCTGGCCTGGGAGAACTTTTCCTGTGCAACCGAAATGTCAAAGGCATCCCTTTGCTCTTCCCTCTCAAAAGGGCTTCTCCCTCTGGACAAACACCCAAAGTTTGTATGTTTCATTCCAATCCCTCATTCAGATCCCTCAGAGCCCAATGGTCTAAATGCCAAGAGAAAAATGGAGGGTTTCGGCTCACCTGTTGGAAGTGTCTGCCTGCTCACAGCAGCAGCAGCAGCAGCAGCAGTAGCCTGGCAGCTCTCATGCCTTGTAGATGAATCCAGCAGCTCCCTGGGCCGCGGGAGCTGTGACCAGCCTCAGACTCGGCATACAGGTGCCTGGAGGAAGGAGGAGGGCATTGGTTGGTGGAGAGCAGGAAATGTGTGACGTCACAGGAGCCTGGACAGATAAAACATTGCTGGGACCTTAGCTATTGAAACAGTCAGTAGGTCCCGCCCACCTGTCATTTACCTGAATACCTGCGAGCAGATAGGTGGCGTCTCTGCACGGACAAATGAATCAGTTAGAGCAATTTGCTGGATGGAGTGTACTTTCTTTCCTGAGCACAGCGTGTGGCCAGTCCCCTGGACGGATCTGAATTCGCCCCACCTGGTTCTTTCCCAGGGTCCCTCCTCCCACCCCCACCCAACAGCTGCCTATGAAAGAGTTAAAAAGGAAGTTTAAACACCAAAAGGAGGCAGTAATTTAGTGGGCATAAAAAGGAAGAATGTCAAGGCTTCGGACTGCTTGGGAAATAACTGAGATTTAACCCCAAATGCCTTTTTGAGTGGCATTCATTTGAACCCCAAGTGCTTCTCTGCTCCAACATTGTAACAAATTGGAGGCAATATTTCAAATCCATTGAAAAGTATCTAAACATGGTACTTGTCAGTGCCAGTTTGCAAACACCTTCTCCCTCCTCCCACCCATGCCAGCATTGTGATCCCATATTCAGGAGTCTGGAAAGCTCCAGTCACTCCTCCCTCAGCCCGCCTGGCACTCAGAGTCACACGGAGCTTACAGTTCACATAGGCCTGCAATTAGAAGCCATTTAAATGATTCAGATTCAAATGATAGCACAGTAATAAGGTGGCTGTCTTGCTGGTCAGAGCCGAGAAGGAGGAGTCAGAGCTATTTCTGTCCCAAGCTTGGAGTGTGACCCTGGACAAGTCACTGTGTTGCTTCAGCTTTTCCAGCAGGAAGGGACAGAGGAAGCCTGCCGCCAGCCAGCACCACAGCTGTGCGCGATTACCCCTGACTGTTAAACCCTTTGGCATCTTTCAGAGGGCTGTAAACAACTCCCGTCATTGGATTTAAATACTGCGTTATTTCGGTGGCCCCCGTCCAGCATCTCTGGACAATTTAGTCTGGCTCTGGAATGTGTTGCCTGGGGGAACTGTGGGCTCTCCTTCTTGGGAGGATGGCCTGCTGGCCCAGAGACACTCCTCCCGCCTTAAAGAAAGAAAATGTTGAAATTCCTATTTTTCCCCTATTCTGTCTTCCTCTTTCCTCCCTCGTATTGAATACTTTGGTCCCACAGGTTCTGATATTGTACTACGACTTTACAGGGTTTCAGAGCAGTAGGTTGGTTGGTGGGTGGAGCGGCTTGGGGGAGGGGTGGGGGAAGAAGGGGGAATGGGAAGGGGAAGGGGGGGAGGTGGGAAGAAGGGGGAAGGAAGCAAGGTCCTGATTCGTTCTTGTGGCCACGACATTGACTAGGTGCGGCCAGTCATTTGATACCTTGTGAAAACACCAGGGAGGTAAAGAAGAGAAATTCTAGTCAAGGGCGCGGGGTGCGGGGCAGGCTCCGGTACTTGGTAGCCCCAGAGCTGGCTCCTCTCCTGAGCCCTGTAGCCGCTGCAGACTGCTCAAACTACCTTCCGCACCAGGAAATCGAGTGCACTTTGGAGAGATTCAGAAGCTTGGAAAAAAAAAAATCCCCCATTCATGTTTTACCCAATAGAAACTAAGATAGGTGGAGCTACTCCTTTATTTTTAAAAACAACAGCAGCAGCAAAGGTGAAGGCAGCAAAACCTTTTATACTCAGGTCTTTCAGGAAAAAGTACCAGTCCTCCAGTTTGATACTCAATTAAGAAACATCAGCAAAACAAAGGCTTCTTCTTCAAGGGACAGGGTTTCCCCAGGGACCGGAGGAGGGGCTGGGCCAGCCTGCCAACCTGATGAATCAAAGGTTACCCTCCCAGAATCTTCCCACCATGCTGCCTTCCCTATGTGTCAATCCTGCCTCACCTTTTCCGAAGGGCCCAGGTCCAACTGGAGAGAGAAGCACAGACAGGTTTTGTTTTTGTTTTGGGAAGGGGGAGGGTTGCGGAGGGAGGGAGACTGTGAGAAGTGACCGAGTACCAATAGAATGCTCTATCCAAAGGCCTCAGAGCTACGGGGCTTCCCTTACTGTATTTACACATACACAGTCATCTGCACACAGGGCCCGATGAATAGGAGTTTAGAACAAGAGTTGAACCAGCAGTGGAGTTCACTCCCAGGTACAGGTGTAAAGAGAAAACAACAGAAGAATTTCACACAACCTGGCCTTCCCAAGTAAGGTGGGTTTGGGTACTCTTGGCTCTAACTTAATCTTTAAAGGTTTAAAAGATTAATGGGGGCTTCATTATTCTATTAGGGCTGTTGTATTATTATGGAAACAAAATGTGTCAAGTATTGGTGAAAAGAGATAAATAAAAATCATACAGCACTAACACTGAATAAACACTTAGCAGATACTACTTACTATCCTAAGCACTCTACAAGCCTATGGGTTAGGCACTATTACTATTTGCACTTACAGCTGGGAAAACCGAGACATAGGCTAACAATTTGCTTAAGGACAGCACAACCAACTGGTAGAAGGGCCAGAGCAGTTTCAACCTCTGGAAAGAAAGGGGAGGAAGGCTCTGATTTCATGCTCCCTGGGCAACTTCCTGGACACTTTGAAGCTTCTTACCTATCCCTCTGTTCAGGAGGCAGTGACTTGAAGAAGTGGCCCTGGGTACTGTCATTTCTGGGAAGAAATGTCTCCCACTGCAAATGAATTAGTAATCTGGTTTAAACATGGAGTATGTATGTACAGAACATATGTACATATGGATGCACTGATACATACATTTATAAGAACATCCATGAGCCCCGGGGCACATGTGAAATAATCTTTTTGAGGCCTATCAAACCAGCCCCAGGAAGGGAAGGACAACTCGAGGGCCCCTGTTCAGGATGACCAGCTGTAACTCTTTCTGACACCTTTTATGGTTGTTTCTCTTTGTAACTCCATCAGAACAACCATAGGGACTTAGAGCTCCGCACAACTGGATGATACATGACAATGTAAAAGTACGTTCCTAGGCGAACCACTGGCCAAGGAGGATGGTTTAGACCAAGGCTGGCAAACACTGGGCACGCACTCCTCCATTCCCACCTCCCATCCCATTTTCACAGTAATTGCAAAAAAGCCCGTGGGGCCCTTCCACTCAGAGGTAACCTCAGAATCTTCAAGGTCTTAAGTCCAGACAGTGCAATTTCTACTCTTGGTTTGGCAGGAAGTGGGAGTAACAATCGGGAAAGGAAAAGGTTGGTGTTGGCTGGTGCCACTGGGCAAGAGTTCATGAAGCCTGGCACGTGAGTTGGACTTGGGAGGCTCTGCAGAGGTGGGAGAGGGGAAGCAGTTCCAGGCAGGGCAGCCCTGTAGGTGGGGCAGGGGTGACCATGCAGCTTGTGTGTGCTGGGGAGCAAGGTGTGTGGGGGGGTGGGGGAGGGGGTCAGACCAGACCATGAAATGTTTGTCCTGCCGGGGGGTGGCGGGGGGGGGGGGAGAATCCACCACATGACAAATGGAGGTGGGTAAGGCAGAACCAGATTATAAGGAACCTCAAGGACTGACTGCTTTAGGCCTTCCTAGTACTGCTAGCTACTTCTCTCGTGATGATTAAACAGCTTTTTTAAAAAAAAGGAAGAAAGAAACCCAGTGTCTTGGGCCTGGGGTGATTTACTAAGAATGACAGTGTTTTCAGTGTTGAGCTAAAATTCCAGGGTACACCATTTCGGCTACTATATGAGCATCTATCTCTTTAGAAGTCAGGCTGCTTTGCCGTCACTATAGCCTGCGAACTTCCTTGAGGAGACAGGTGGAATGCATTAGAAAGCTCTCTGAACTCAAGGTTGGGGTTGTCTCAGTTAACCAGCCAGCTCACTTGGGCTTTTTGATTAGTTTGAATTCTTTTATGTGTCTTGACAGGGAAATATAAAGGGAGAAAGAAGTTCTGTTTTTAAAGCTCTTTCCTTCTAAATCACCACAATGAAAGTTGGCGTTCTCAAAGATTTCCCCTGGCAATGAGCATATTGCTAAGTCCATGCCTCATGATTCGTCAGAATTACTTTTTGGATGTCTTTCTTTCTTTCTTTCTTTCTTTCTTTCTTTCTTTCTTTCTTTCTTTCTTTCTTTCTTTCTTTCTTTCATGGCTTATTTGTAGAGTTGTCTAAGAAGACTGAATGCCACAACAAAAGTGAACATATTCCATCTGATTTTAATAAAAGGTATTTCTAGAAATAGTGTCTTTGGCTGAAAGTATTCAGCATGATGAGAGTGGAATTATTGTATACATTCCATCACATTGGCCTTAGTTTCTCAGTTTTTTTTAAAAACTACCTTAGCTCCAAATCTTTCACTGGCTAATTATAAGCACTTAACATGATGCAAAGAAGCAGATCCCTGAAGGGCAATTATGGAAAATAACAGCAATAATCACAAATATCAGCTGACGTGATAGACGCCATCTGGTTCTATGGATGAGGAGAGGTTGCATGTCTACCACAGGCTCAGCCTGTGTGCTGCCTGGTTTGCAGATGAGCTTCTAGGATATTCTTTGGATCTACAGTTTAGGAGCAGACACTCATCTGGTTCATGTGCTTTTGGGGGTAGAGGGAGTACCTCAGTTATTAGAGATGGCTCACATTTTGTGAAGGTTTACTACACACATTTTTGGCCAGTGTAGTTGTTTTTATTAGAAATAAAAAAAAAGACTTCATTGTTGCTGTCTCTATAATTTTCACAAGCCCTATATTCCACAACTGTAAATGTCTTTATGATTCTATCACTCTGTTCTTATGCAAACCAGGTCAGCTGGTCAACATCTTGGCGATGGTTGTAGCTGTGCTGGAAGTTGTCATATCTTTGTTTCTTTATTGGTTCCTCTCTATATACCCACTGTAAGTGACCCCATACCCCCTCTCAAAGAAGTAAAAGGTCTGTCCTCCTTGGTAACTTTGCCCCCATCTTGAGGGCTTCCAGCATCTTTGACCTCCAGCATCCTTGACCTCCTCACCTAC